AGTGTCGTGTTCGAAAACAAGTCTTCCCAGAGACGTCGCTTACGTTCTCACTTTTGCACCTATTTACCCTTATTTTCCTCGACTTTTTTAAACGTATACGATTTGGCTTCAAAACACGATCGTGTGATAAAAATATTTTATCCAAATAAAATTATAGCGCCGTGTTCGAAAAAAAGTCTTTCTGGAGACGTCGCTCACGTTCTCACTTTGGCCCCTATTTACCCTTTTTTTCCTTGAGTTTTTTAAACGCATACGATTTGACTTCAAAACACATTGGTGCGATATAAATATGTTATCCACATCAAATAATAGAGCCGTGTTCGAAAACAAGTCTTTCTGGAGATGTTTTGCCCCTATTTACCCTTATTTTCCTTGACTTGTTTAAACGTATAAGATTTGGCTTCAAAACACAATGGTGCGATAAAAATATATTATCCACATCAAATAATATTTCCGTGTTCGAAAAAAAGTCTTTCCGGAGACGTCGCTTACGCTCTCAATTTTTCCTCTATTTACCCTTATTTTCCTTGACTTTTTTAAACGTATATGATTTGGCTTCAAAACACGATGGTGCGATAAAAATATGTTATCCACATCAAATAATAATGTCGTGTTCGAAAACAAGTCTTTCTAGAGACGTCGCTTACATTCTGACTTTTGCGCCTATTTACATTATTTTCCTCGACTTTTTTAAACGTAGACGATTTGATTTCAAAACACGATGGTACGAAAAAAATCAGTTATCCACATAAAATAATAGTGTCGTGTTTGAAAAAAAGTCTTTCCCGAGACGTCGCTTATGTTGTCACTTTTGCCCTTATTTATCCTTTTTTCCTTGAGTTTTTTAAACGCATACGATTTGACTTCAAAACACATTGGTGCGATAAAAATTATTTATCTACATCAAATAATAGTGCTGTGTTTGAAAACAAGTCTTTCCGGAGACGACGCTTACGTTCTCACTTTTGCCCCTATTTACCCTTATTTTCCTCGACTTTTTTAAACGTATACGATTTGGCTTCAAAACAGGATGGTGCGATAAAAATATGTTATCCACATCAAATAATAGTGTCGTGTTCGAAAACAAGCCTTTCTGGAGACGTCGCTTACGTTCTCACTTTTGCCCCTATTTACCCTTGTTTTCCTTGACTTTTTTAGACGTATACGATTTGACTTCAAAACACATTGGTGCGATAAAAATATGGTATCCACATCAAATAATAGTGCCGTGTTCGAAAAATAGTCTTTCTGGAAAAGTTTAGCCCCTATTTACCCTTATTTTTCTTGACTTTTTTAAACGTATACGATTTGGCTTAAAAACAGGATGGTGCGATAAAAATATGTTATCCACATCATATGATAGTGTCGTGTTCGAAAACAATTATTTCCGGAGACGTCGCTTACGTTCTCACTATTGCCCCTATTTACCCTTATTTTCTTCGACTTTTTCAACGTATACGATTTGGCTTCAAAACACGATGGTGCGATAAAAATATGTTATCCACATCAAATTATAGTGTCGTGTTCGAAAACAAGTCTTCCAAGAGACGTCGCTTACGTTCTCTCTTTTGCACCTATTTACCCTTATTTTCCTCGACTTTTTTAAACGTATACGATTTGGCTTCAAAACACGATCGTGCGATAAAAATATTTTATCCACATAAAATTATAGCGCCGTGTTCGAAAATAAGTCTTTCAGGAGACGTCGCATACATTCTCACTTTAGCTCCTATTTACCCTTTTTTTCCTTGAGTTTTTTAAACGCATATGATTTGACTTCCAAACACATTGGTGCGATATAAATATGTTATCCACATCAAATAATAGTGCAGTGTTCGAAAACAAGTCTTTCTTGAGATGTTTTGCCCCTATTTACCCTTATTTTCCTTGACTTTTTTAAACGTATACGATTTGGCTTCAAAACACAATGGTGCGATAAAAATATGTTATCCACATCAAATAATATTGTCGTGTTCGAAAACAAGTATTTCCAGAGACGTCGCTTACGTTCTCACTTTTGCACCTATTTACCCTTATTTTCCTTGACTCTTTTAAACGTATATGACTTGGCTTCAAAACACGATGTTGCGATAAAAATATTTTATCCACATCAAATAATAGTGCCGTGTCCGAAAACAAGCCTTTCCGGACACGCCGCTTACGTTCTCAATTTTTCCCTTATTTACCATTATTTTCCTTGACTTTTTTAAACGTATACGATTGGGCTTCAAAACACGATGGTGCGATAAAAATATGTTATCCACATCAAATATTAGTGTCATGTTCGAAAACAAGTCTTCACAGAGACGTCGCTTACGTTCTCACTTTTGCGCCTATTTACCCTTATTTTCCTCGACTTTTTTAAACATATACGATGTGGCTTCAAAACACGATCGTGCGATAAAAATATGTTATCCACATCAAATAATAGTGTCGTGTTCGAAAACAAGTATTTCCGGAGACGTCGCTTACGTTCTCACTTTTGCCCATATTTACCATTATTTTCCTCGACTTTTTTAAACGTATACGATTTGACTTCAAAAAAAGATGGTGCGATAAATCAAATAATAGTGTCGTGTTTGAAAACATGTCTTTCCAGAGACGTCGCTTACGTTCTCACTTATGCCCCTATTTACCCTTATTTCTCTCGACTTTTTAAACGTATACGATTTGACTTCGAAACACATTGGGGCGATAAAAATATGGTATCCACATCAAATAATAGTGTTGTGTTCGAAAAATAGTCTTTCTGGAGACGTTTAGCCTCTATTTACCCTTATTTTTCTTGACTTTTTTAAACGTATACGATTTGGCTTCAAAACAGGATGGTGCGATAAAAATATGTTATCCACATCAAATAATAGTGTCGTGTAC